CTTGTGTAGCTTTTGAGACCTTCCGCCCGTCACGTTTGGGCTCCGCCTCCGCCTGCTCCGCCTGCAATGCTTTTGAAGCGGAACTCTTGCTAACTTGCGAAGCACTCCTTCTTGTCCTGTCCTCCGATGCTTTTTCAGACATCAGATCATGCATCGTGGCTGTTGTATGTTGAGCCGAAGTGCCGCGCATTCCCGTGTGTCAGAGTCCAGGCTTCTTTCTCTCTGTCTGCGAGCCGTCCGTCATCCCTTTCAACCCTATACTGCCCACTGTTGCAGCCAGCGCCTGTGCGGTTGCGGCTGCGAAGTGGGGACTCGGTCTTTCAAAAGCCTCGCGAGAAAGCTTTTGTGAGTGCCTAGCAGGAAGTATCCTCACAATTACCCTCTATATATATATATATATATATATATTACCTGAATCCATAACGGCCGGCCCGAGTTGATGTCCTTATCCAGAATGTCGCTCATCACTGTCATCTATTTACTGCCACCAGAATGATCATAGCAGCAGCAGTATGCAGAAAACTGTTCTTGTTGTACTGCTTATACGGGGCCCTTGCTACGTCCATCACAGTACATAGATCCCAAATGTGAGCAAACATTGCTTACACATGCCAGCTGCAACTTCCCTTTCAGTCTCGGAAGAGCACGCACAAATCACGAACCTGGCAAAGCCGCCATCGCAACTGTGGCGCTTCTTAGATGACGCTTTGATCCGCTAGACCGAACTTGAGTGCAGTTCCTTGGGAGAATAAACTACCTAACGACCCGCCACGGATTCCAGGCGTTGTGCGTCCCGGGCTAAAACATTTTGCAGGCCCGAGATGGCTACCCTACCTAGCCCTACCTGCCTCCAGAAATGCCTTGCCGGCACACTCCACTCGCCGGCGTCGCGGTGCTGCCGGGGCGCACAGAATTGTGTCTTGAAGGCCTGCATGAGCATACAAGCAATTGTCTTCAGCAGCGGCTCTCGGCAAGCCAGTTCGAAAGGGGATGTTCTGGGGAAGAGGGAACCCTGTCTTTGCTTCAAACATACAAGCAGCTTGTCAGGGACAGGAACACTGCGATATGAGAACAAAGTCCCATCATCGCTCGAGCGGAGATTGCAGACTCTACTGCATCTCAGTGTGACACGCTCTTTTCCGGAAGCTGGAGGCTCGCTAAATGCCCATGTTCAAGGCGGGGGCGGTTTCATCGAACTGGCCTCCGTCAAGTGGCGCGGCAAGCATTTTTTGGAGAGGTCGGCAAATCTCCTCCAGCCAGGTTTCGAACCTTGCCATAGCCGAAATCGGTTTGCCTCCTAAACGTCCAGAAATCTCAGAGCGTGGGATCGGCTGCATGCAGCTTTGAGGCCCCACCAGCAAGCGCTGGGCCGCCTGCGCAGAGTGCTGACAGCTGACGGAACTCTGCAAACTCCTCTGCGCACTGCGCCCAAGTAGCCCACACAAGGCCCCAAACACATCATGCTTCAGCCAACGAGTCTTTTCTAACTGCACATCTTATCCGTTCGCACTATGCCGTGGGTTTCCGCACTTTCGCCTCACTGTGTTCCGACGGTTTCGCTTCAGGCTGTCCATTTAGTCTTATGCTAACGCTGACTGCACTACAAGGTTACAAGGTGTCCTCCGTCTGCCTCGCAACTACGTCCACAACGGGAGTTTCCAAACACGGGAGACCTCCAGCCATAAAAAATATAAGTTTCACCACATAAGTAAGGTACCAAGCTTAGCAAACTGTCAACCTCGAGAAAACCGCGCATGCGGGGACACATTCCGTCGCTGCCTGCCTTTCCTAGTACGGCCAATCCACCTGACACGGCAACAAGTGTGTTTTGGCCAATAATTATCTTGTGCATGAGCTTGCTGAAGCCGTTCTAGCCAAACCTTGTATGCTCCATGCAAATCCGCCCAACATTGTCACCACTAGGCCGCACTATGCCGCCATCAGAAACGTGTGATCCCTTCGTTTAATCATTGGAGACGTGTATGGTGTCATGCTCCTGCTTCCATGCATGGTAATGTGGGCTTCGCCACCGCATGTCTTGTTTTTGGCGGTCTGTTGTTGCCGCAGACGGAAACCTCTGCACACTACCACTGGTAAATCAAACGCCAAACCGAGATCCCTGAAACCAGCTCCCGTACATGCTTACATAAATCGGCAACCCTGTATATACGTATATACAGACACAGGGCTACAGGTATGTATACATGCATTCATTCACTCCCCGCATGCAGCCATGCACACAATCTGCCTTTCCTCCCTTTCACATCGCTGTATGTCTTTTCAACCAATTGTTCATTTATCCACTCGTCCATTGCATTCCATTCCATATCGTTTCAGGCAATTTCACTCCATTGTCCTATCATTGCACAAGTCCTTCCTTCCCTCCTTCCCCTCCTCTTCGTGCATTCTCAACATCCTTTGTGTGCATTCTGCGTTCCTTCACTCATTCATTCATTTAATCCATTCCATTCCATTCCAATCCATTCATTCATCCCATTACAAGTCAGTTTCATGAAAAAACCCATTCGTTTTATGCATTTCATACTATGGCATCTCATCTCATCTCATTATTCATTCATTTACTCATTCATTCGTTCGTTCATTCGTTCATTTCATTCATCCTTTCATTCGTCTCAAGTCCACTCTGTCTATTTCACTTCATCTCATTCATTAAACGTCCCACCCTACTGGATTGTTAGCTCGTGAAGACAAGCCTTCCGACAGGCCCCTGACCCCGACGGGGCGAGCTGGTTTCCCGTCAAGAAGCATTTACAAGCTTCAAAGTTGGCTACACCGCCCCCACCCAACCTCTCCGTCCACAGTCCCCATTGCCCACACCGGCTTGAGCTCGGCCACGCCGTATCAGTGCTTCGCTCACCCTGCCCCCACGGCCTTCGCCCTCGTTCCCTCACCAGCCCTACTGCCCTTATCCTCCTCCAGTGTCTGCTTCGCCTACATTACCTCCACGGCCTCCATTCCATCCTCCGTCCCTATTTAGGGGCCCTCAATGTGTGCCCAAACCTCTCCGCCTTAATGCCCTCACCACACCCACCGCCTCCACTTCGCCCACATGTCAAGCTCACCACCCCCATCCCTGTCTGTTTGGTGCGGTGCCCAACTCACCCACCCTTAGTTCGGGTTTCCACTTCGCCCTACTGCCCCCATCGCTCCCACTCTGCGCCGTCACCGCCTTCACCCCTCTGCCATTGTCCCCACCTGCGCGCCTCGCCTCAACTCCCCCGCTTTCGCTTGAGTTTCCAAGTCTTTTAGAAGCCACACCCCCTCCGCCCACACCGACCGACACCGCCCCCAGCGCTCTACGCCCTTACCACCCTCACCCTCACTGCTTGGTTCGGGTTTCCAGGTCTTCCTCACCACCCTCACCACCCCACACTGCCCTCAGAGCTTTGCCTACATTGCCCCCACTCTACGCCCTCATCGCCTTCACCCTCACTGCCCCCACCGCTCCCACTCTCTACGCCGTCACCGCCATTGTGCCCACCTGGGCGCCTCGCCTAAACTCCCACCGTTGGTTCGGGTTTCCAGGTCTTCAAGAAGTATATTTAGAGGCCTCCAACACGTGCCCAAACCTCACACCACCTCCGTTGTCTCCACCCACCCCACCGCCCTCACAACGCCTCCATTGTCCCCACCCGGGCGCCTCAGCATGTCGACCGCGGCGGTTTGCGTTCACGTCTGCATTACCGAACCATGCTGCAACTGTGAATTGGTGTCCACATCGACGTCTGTTGTGGATGCGTCCGTCTCTTGTTGACTTGATATTTGTTTTGCAATGCGGGCACTTGTATACATATATATATATATATATTCCCGCTTTTGTGTCGTGGAGGTCGTTACGACTATGTGAACGTATGGCCGCATATGTGTCGGTTGTCTACAGTATGCGTCCATCTCGTGTGGTTGAATCGATCTTTGCCTGGCAGTGCGGACACTTGTATGCATAACACAATGATGTGCAGATACGCCGAGTTGGCGCTGGAATTACCGCAACTGTTGGCACCGGACTTGACCTGCAATTGATGCTCATGAAGAAGTTTCTTACTCATTCCTATCTTATCCTTTCTTGTCACTACCTCCCTGTCTCAGGGCTGACTACTTTCAACACCTGCTGCCT